TGGTTGTAATGTTTTGTTTGGCAGGGGAAAAAATCAATTTTTTAAAATGGTTTCAGCAATTCTTTTTGAAAATGTTCTCTGGGTAACAACCACATTTGTTTCTTTACAGAAAGCCAGGTGTTTTTTTTAAAGGAGAAAATAAAACACTGTCTGGTCCTACATATCAGGGAGAGGAATGAAAACAAAGTCTGCAAAAATGGGTTTATTTAGAGCCCTTTGCAATGAAAACAATTTAGACATTCCATTCCCGCCCCCCCCCCCCCCAAACTATTTTAATCTTTTTACCGGCTCTAGTCCTAGTGCACTGCACTGGGTAAGTGTCTATGATGATGTCTGCCCCCTCCTGGCTGGTGCATAAAGAAAAGATCTTTTGTGTCATCTTCAGATTAATGTTCATTATGACAGGCCTATAATGCTATATAAGAGCTCAGTATAATTATTATAACTGCCTCCCTGATTGGCTACGAGGGCCTGATTTTCATCTCAGACAGCCAGTAGGAGTACTGGTGCCCTTTGCCTGTAGACCAATTCACCCCAGCACCATAGTTTTCATGGGCTCCACTCAGGTATAATCCGTTCAGGTTGGACACATGACAATCCTTGTACCACCAGGACCCTTTAAAGGCTTCAGCACAGTTAAGTACAGACAAGTCGTTGTCATGGTCGTAGGTTGTAAACATCATACCATTGTGTTCAGTTAAGGAATCCCCTGTGGAAACAATTGGGTTTGTTTATTACATGTTTTTACAGAGACAAGGTGGATGAGATAATCTCTTATTGTTTATTTTTTACAGCTCAGTTCCCACAACCCAGCCTGGTGGCTCTGCAGTGGAGTTACTAAATTTCTCCGTTCACCCCACAGCAGAACTCTCCCTTGGGTGCAAGAGAGAGACTGCAGTTCTACTTCCAGTGAGGAACATTTTTCACCAGGCCATATTTGGATCTCAGTTACACCACTATTGATCCAGAGTAACTCGTTGCAGTCAATGTGCTCAGTCCTTCGGTGTCCTGAAATCAGTTTACACCATTGTGATGGTCTAATGTGAGCCCAATGTGCTCCTAACACTAATAGCTGAGCCAGGAGCCTGCTGAAGATTCAGGATCATAGAATCACAGAATCATAGACATGTCAGGCATGAAGGGACCTTGAGAAGTCATCAAGTCAAACCCCCTGGGCTGAAGTAGCCCCAAGTAAATCTAGACCGTCCCTGAGAGGTGTTTGCCCAACCTGTTCTTTAAAACTTCCAGTGATGCAGATTTCACACACTCTGTTAGAAACCTATTCCAGAGTTTAACTACCCTTATACTTAGAAATTTAATTCTAATTCTGATTTAGTTCTCTTTACCGCAGATTAAGTCCATTACTTCTTGTCCTACCTTCAGTGGACATAGAGAACAATTGATCACAGTCCTCTTTATAACAGCTCTTAACGTATTTAAAGACTGTTACCAGATTTCCCCCCCCCCCCAGTCTTGTTTTCTCAGGACTACTCATCATCAGTTTTTAAACTTTTCCTCATAGGTCAGGTTTTCTAAACCTATTATCATTCTTGTTGCTCTCCTCTGAACTCTCTTCAATTTGTCCACATCTTTCCTAAAGTGAGGTGCCCAGAATTGGACGCTGTTCTCTGGCTGAGGCCTCTCACCAGTGCTGAGGAGAGCAGGACAATTCCCTACTGTTTCTTACATGCCACACTCTTGTAAATATACCCCAGAATGGTATTAGCTTGTCGTGCAACTGCGTCACATTGTTGACTGAGATTCAATTTGCGATCCGCTCTAAATGCCAATTATTTTTCAGCAGTACTACCGCCAAGCCAGTTATTCTCCATTCTGAAGTTGTGCATTTGATTTGTCCTTCCTAAGTGAATCACTTTGCACTTGTCTTTACTGAATTTCATCTTGTTGAACTCAGACCAATTCTTCAATTTTCCAAGGTCATTTTGCATTCTAATTCTGTCCTCCAAAGTGCTTGCAACCCCGCCCAACTTGGTGCCATCTGCAGATTTTATAAGCATGTCCTCCATTCAATTATCCAACTCATTAATGAAAATATTGACGACTACCGGACCCAGGACTGACCGCTGCAGAACCCCATTAAATACACACTCCCAGTTTGACAGCAAACCATTGATAACTACTCGAGTACAGTCTTTCAACCAGTTATGCACCCACGTTATGGTAATTTCATCCAGACTGCATTTCCCTAGTTTGCTTATTCCAAATGTCATGTGGGATTTGGTCAAAAGTGTTACTAAAATCAAAATATATCATCTCTACTGCTTTCTCCTTATCCACTAAGCCAATAACCCTCTCAAGAAGGGAATTAAATTGGTTTGTCAGGATGTGTTCATGAGAAATCCATGGTGGTTATTGCTAATTAATCCTAATGTCCTGCAGGTGCTTAGAAATTGATTGTTTAATAATTTGAGTGAGTGTCTTTCCAGGTATCAAAGTTAGGCTGACTGGCCTACAATTCCCTGGGTCCTGTTTGTTCCCCCTTTTAAAGATAGGTATGATGTTTGCTGTTCTCCAGTCTTCTGGGACCTCTCCCATCCTTCAAGAGTTCTCCAGATAATTATTAATGATTCTGAGATTGTTTCGGCTGGCTCTTTAATTCCCCTAATATAAGTTTCATCAGGCCCTGCTGACTTGAATACTTCAAACTTATCTAAATATTCTTTAACCTTTTCCCTCCTATATGGGCTTTCATTCCTTCCCCCTTGTTGTTAATAGTGTGTTGAGTATGTCATCACCAGTAACTTTTTTAGTGAAGACTGAAGCACACTAGCCATGAAACACCTGAGCCTTCTTGATGTCATGAGTTATTACCTCTCCATTCCTGCTAAGTTGAGGAACTACACTTTCCTTCATCTTTCTCTTGCTGCTAATGTATTTAAAGAACCTCTTTTTCCTGAACTCCATTTTCCCCAGATTGTCTTCCCACAGGACCTAATCCATCAGTTCTCCGAATTTGTTAAAGTCTGCTGTTTTGAAGACCATTGTCCTTCTTCTACTGTTTTTAGTCCTTCCTTTCTCAGAATAAAGAAATCTGTGATTTCATGATCACTTTCACCCAAATTGTCTTCCGCCTTCAGATTCACTCCCAATTCCTCCTTGTTAGTCAGAATTAAGTTTATAATGGCTGTTCCCCCTGGTTACTTCCTCCAGAAAATGGTGTCCCCAACACATTCCAAGGACTTATCAGAAATGTTGTGTTTTTCAGTATTACTTTTCTAACAAACGTCTGGGTAGTTAAAGTCCCCCATTACTATAGTACACGTGTAGCAAGAGGTCACTTCTATTTTTTACCCTTTTTCTCTTTACCCAGAGACTATCAATTGGTCTGCTTGGAGCAGAGAACAAATTTATATATTCTTGCTGTATAATTCTACACCTCCTCCCTTTTTTACCCTGTCTGTCTCTCCTAAACAAGCTATACCCCACTATACCAATATTCCAGTAATGAGACTTATCCCACCCAGTTTCTGTGATGCCACTTAAGTAGCAATTCTCCTACTATGCTAATCATAGAATATCAGGTTTGGAAGGGACCTCAGGAGGTCATCTAGTACAACCCCCTGCTCAAAGCAGGACCAATCCCCAACTAAATCATCCCAGCTAGCGCTTTGTGAAGCCAGGCCTTAACAACCTCTAAGGAAGGAGATTCCACCACCTCCCTAGGTAACCCATTCCAGTGCTTCACCACCCTCCTAGTGAAAAAGTTTTTCCTAATATCCAAGCTAAACTTCCCCCGCTGCAACTTGAATCTGCCACTTGCAATCCTTCCAGTTCTTCCTGTTTATTCCCCATCCGCCTGGCATTTACATTTCGGTATCTGAGATGCTGAGCAGATTTCTTTACTGATTTCCCACTTCTTCCTCCTCTGTACATGCTCCCCCCCCCCAATCTAGCCTTCTGTTAAGGTGGCCCTTTTTTATGCTTAACTCTTGGTTTTTGTCACCTGCACTTTTAAATCTAGTTTAAAACCCTTCTCCCTAGTTGGCTTGTGGGTGTGCCTAAGTAATCCTGCAGTGATGTGTAGTAGACTCTGCATGCCACAGAATATTCCTGTATCTGGTATCCAAGAGTCTGGGATGCATCGATTGCTTGAAATGGGGCTTATCTACCCACGCAGTGACTTGTACCAATCCTGGTGTGCCTACTTAGTTTAATTCAGACATTTCTATGGGGCATTAAGGTCTAATGTAGGAAAGCAACCAGCAGTAGACAGGCTATCCATATTATACTATATGTTTTGTAGTCACTAGACCTTGTATTCCTCCTATAATACTTCAGTTGCAGAATAACTGATAGGTTTCAGAGGAACAGCCGTGTTAGTCTGTATTCGCAAAAAGAAAAGGAGTACTTGTGGCACCTTAGAGACTAACCAATTTATTTGAGCATGAGCTTTCGTGAGCTACAGCTCAAGTGAGCTGTAGCTCACGAAAGCTCATGCTGAAATAAATTGGTTAGTCTCTAAGAATAACTGATGTTTCCTGACAGACATCACCTCCACAGATTACCTCGCCTTTTGCTTCTGCCACTGAATATTCTGAATGCCTCGGATGAAGTGAGCTGTAGCTCATGAAAGCTTATGCTCAAATAAATTGGTTAGTCTCTAAGGTGCCACAAGTCCTCCTTTTCTTTTCGCAGATACAGACTAACATGGCTGCTACTCTGAAACCTGAATATTCTGCATCACATTTGCTTTACATTTTTCCATCTGCTACAAAGGGTAAAGGATAAGCTCAGAACCTACCTGCAGTGCCATTCACAAAGTCTCCAAGGATCAGCTTGTATTTCTCATTCTCCCCTGTAATTTTGAATGA